ATTCCGTGTGATCATAAGAATAGTTTTTTTTCAGTGAACAATCGATACGGTCTCGATTCGTAGCAAAGGTCTTCATTTTAGTTACTATAATGGTAAGTTTCTCTGTTACCTGGGTAGAAATAGGTAGAAATTCTCTTTGCTACGCGTGCACGATAGCAGAGTATTTCTTTGGTCACTTGGAACACTGTAGGCAGCGTTAAGACTTCGCGACGACAGCGCTATAGTCGAGCGATTCGACGATGGACGCGCACGCATGGCCACGTCGCGCGACCGAAGCGCTGCCGTCGCGAGGTGTGAAAGGCTGCCGTAGCGCTGACAGTTGAATCAACTAGGTCCTGGTGCGAATGCCGTGCACGAAACGAGCAGGCTCTCTCGCCCCCGCCCTTCTCCGCTGCAACGTGGATGTATTGCTTTAAATCTGACTTGGAGCTAAGCGCAGAATTGCAGCTTGCAGACAAACTGCACACTCGCCTCTAGAACTGTCCTGCAGTAGCGGAGCACTTTCTCTCCCAAGTGCACGTAACGGGCATGTGGGGTAGTGGTGCACGAAAGCCGTCTACATCAGCACTTCCTGGCGTTGATACCGAAGTTCCGCGCCAAAAAATACGCTCAGCGGTAGAGAACATCAGGAGTGAGTGCAGACAAGTAGCGCGCTTGGCCATGGTTGAGCGCATGGGAGGCCGTGGGGGAGTGCGGGCGGAGTGGGGATACAGCACCCTGTATTACTGTCCTATTCCTGCGAATTTGCGTGGTGCGTGCGATTAGTGCAAAATGAAGCCCGCCAGCCAACAATATGGCAATTTCTGAAATATTCCTGTTCGTACTTCTGCATTTACATCAAAGTGGTTATTTTTAGTTTGCGATTGTGGCCGTGATGTGTGCGATGCCGTTTATCTTTCCAGCGTTCTTGGTATGGGTCCAGCAAAATATGGTTTTCCTCTTTGTATCTTGGTAAGTTCATTGGTTGTTTCTTTGTAGCCTATTATTGGGACGGAAACTTCTTCCAACTGGAGTGACTCGTCCAAATAGGGCGGATTCTGAATCTGAATCGCCTGCTGCAAAAACCTACTCAGACTTTCCAATCGAACTCTCATTCCTACAATGTTATATCGTCCTGTCTAGTAAGACAAAAGAAGGTATAGGATGCGCGTAAAGAGGTTTGAGGATCGACCATCTTCTTTCTAGAATGCGCCACGCATTCCACTTTCATTTAAAATCGTAGCAACTTCTGAATGTGAAGAAGATACATGTTTAGTGGATGCAGATGGGCTAGACGAGGGCAAAATGAGAGCAGCCTTCCACACTTTCCTATCCGATCGCCATCCGATCACATATGAACGCCGCTACAAAACAGGGCGCATCATGGTTGGGGATTTCAGTCGACTGTATACGACCCCCCCCTTTTTAGGAGTTGGTAGGACCCCCCTCAGCCCTCTGTCCTTCCTCATCGAATCGAGCCGTGCGGAAGGGAAGGAGCCCGGGGGGGGGGGGGAGGGGTAAATAGCACATGTGAAACAGGAAAAGCCGCGAGACAATACGACCCCCCCCTCTACAATCAGATTTTCCCCAACTTCCTGCCCCTTTTTTCCAAAATTTCCCGAAAACTTCCCTACATTTTCCCAGAAATTTTGCTGTCGAGCGGAAGGGGGGATATCATAGTTATGCATGATCAGGAAAATCACCAAAAGCATTCCCACTCCAATAAACGCCCAGAACGTAAATTACGACCACCCCCTCCCTCCCAAAAATGATCAAATACGACCCCCTCCCTTTACAACGTCTATGAAGCGAGAAAAATCAACTATCAAAATAAATTTTTCTCGGTCCAAATACGACCCCTGGCGACCAAATACGACCCCCCCCCACCTATTGGATCCCCAACAACGACCTGCTTGGCCTCCAAAGCTAGACTGTAGCAGGATCATCATTACAGTTGACAAGAGTGCGCAGCTCCCCATGGTGTGACGTGTATTTTGACGGGAACTAGCCAAGAGAGGTGTCCAAAGTTGCCCCTCCGAAACCGATTACAGTACTTCAGAATTCCACACAACAACGTTACTTACAAGTACAGTGACCCGCATGAATTTCAGGGGCGTTTTTCTGGTTGTGGTGATAGTCCTCATGTGCAGTAGTTCAGTTCGACGATCATATCCACTCAATCTTATCGCACTGGGCATATTCGTAAGTGATCATCACTTCTTATTTTTATTATTCCTTGCCCTAATGTTGCGCCGTGAATAAGGAATAAAGGAGGATAACCTCTCAGTTTTCTCACCTAGCCAATCAATATTGAAGCGATATTTTTTTTTTTTATTTTTTCTGTCATATATCGATCAATAGTTTCTTTCAGACACTGTCTGCTGGTTACATGACCATGGCGATCACGTCAGCGTATAATGTACAGTCGGTGTTACTGGCACTGTGTATCACTACATGCTCATCAGCAGCAATCATCGTTTTTGCTACGATGGTAAAAAAGGATCTCACCACGTAAGTGAATGAATAATTACAAATTTAAAAACATAATTTTCTATTCTTTCTTATTTCACTTTCACTAAAGTATCGTACTCATCAACTATGTAGATCGGACTACAAAAAAGATGGTGTAATGTACAGGTTGGCCATAATTATAGCGACAAGACTTGCTGCAGTTAGCGTACATTCTATCGCGCACATAGCGCGCCAGTTTTATGGATTTTTCAATCTCATCATTTTTTCTAACTCCTGTTAAAATTTGGTTAAATTTGGTCCATTCATAGTGAAATGGTGAAGCCTTCTCCTGATCGTTCCGCTATCGTTCGTCTGCACAAAGCCGGCCGCCCACCCGCCACGATCGCTAAGCACCTCGGCATCCACCGCAGCGTCGTGTATCGCACACTCCAACGTTATCGAGACCTTGGTGGACTCCAAGACCGCCGAAGAAGTGGAAGACCTCGTACTGCTCGCACGCCGAAGGTCGTCGAGGCCGTCAGAAAGCGGATAGCAAGAAACGCGACTCGGAGCATCTCGACGATGGCTCGCGACATGGGAATCTCGCGGAAGTCAATGGAAAGGGTCGTCCACGAAGACCTTAAGATGTACCCCTAACCGTACTCGGAAGGCTGCTCGAATCAGCAGGCGCGAGTCAAGAAGTGCCGACAGCTTTTGCTTCGGACGCGCAACAAGGGCCACCATTCGATCGTCTTTTCGGATGAGAAGCTCTTCACCGTCGAGCAGCAGTTCAACGCTCAGAACGTCAGAGTGATCGCAAGGAATGCCGAGGAAGCCGACAAGAAGGGAAGAGTCGTTCACCGGCCGCAACCCTGCCCAAAGGTCATGGTTTTCGTCGGCAGGGGTGTGTGCCTCGGGGAAGACGCCGTTGATATTCGTCGACCCCGGCGTCAAAATCGACAAAGATTACTACCTGAAGACGATTCTGGAAGATGCTCTACTCCCGTGGGCGAATTCCCACTTCAACGGCCGCCCGTGGACATTCCAGCAAGATTCGGCGCCCGCCCACAAGGCCAAGGTCGTCCAAGCGTGGTGCAAGAGCGAACTCCGTTGAAGATGGAATTCGCCCACGGAAAGAGCATCTTATTCAGAATTCGCTCTCAAGTAGTAATTTTTGTCAGAAGAAGAAGAATGGCCGGCATCGTCACCGGATTTGAACCCACTGGACTATAACTTGTGGTCCTACCTTGAGAGCAAGGCCTGCGCCACTCCCCACCCCAATTTGGATTCTCTGAAGGCAGCGCTCATCCGAGAATGGGACGAAATCGACGACGCACCGGTCATCGACGCCTTTCCCAAGCGACTCCGCGCTGTCGTCCGTGCCAAAGGTGGCCGAATCGAGAAGTAGAACTTATTGCTTTAAAGACAGCGCCCGCGTTCATTTGTTGTTCTCACGCCCTCTCTGGATCTAGTAGCTCCCCCTATGAGGATGGTGGACGTGCATGTTTCGCAACCCAAAAATGCGACGGAACAGCGGCGCCCGCCCGCAAAGAGCCTACGGCTCCACCCACCAGCCGACCACGCCACCCAACTTCATTTCTAATGGTTGCCTGATGGTGCGGTTGTTCCATTGCTGCTTCTCCACGTGGAGTGGTGAGAGTGAGGTGATAAGGGAAAACAGCTGATATGAACAAGTGGAAACTCGTGCAATCACTCCTTCTCTTCGCCTTAAGCACGTACAACCGTTGTTCGGTATGAAACTCCTTCTAGGGCATTTTGCGTGTTTTCTCTTGATTTTTCTTCACTAATAGGCTTCTTGCTACCTCGCTGTTACTACCTGAGCCGCATACTCATTAAATTTGAACGCGGGCGCTGCCTTTAAGTACCAGTTGTTACTTAATAAATGTTATGTTCATGACTCGTTTGCACTTTTGCTTTCTGAGATATAAGGTGAAAACCTTGTCGCTATATTTATGGCCAACCCTGTAGTTTAACAGTGCCAGAGCGTAAACGGTGAAAGAGGCCGGATGCAAAAGTCACCTGCTCTTGTGTTACAGCATGCGCAACCCCGGACCAATTGATGCAAAGAGGAGTGAACAACTGGCTTCTTTGGTTGCTTTATGGTAAATAACAGATCTTACTTTGGTTTGATCTGTAAACTTCGAAGCTGCGAAATTTGCGAGTTAGCCACTGTGGTCACAGGAATTACAGGTCTTTATAAGGGTGCCTAAACAATAGTTAGCTCAGTGGCACGCGGTGCCCGCTTTTACCCCCCCCCTCCCCGAGCCGAAATGCTCCGGGAGGGACTACAGTGTCAAGGCATCTGTGTATATCTGCGAAACACTCTGCAGGTTCGCGCGTACTGCTGTATGTCCAACTGCGAAAAAACCTTGGGACAAGCCAAATCGCGTTTCAAGCTGTTTGGAGGCTTTTATTCTACAGCTTACAGAGGAAGGATAAGCAGATAGCGGGAATTTTGCAAGAAAAAAGCTATCCAGCGCTCTGAACTTTGGTTTGCTAACTATTGTACTTGATTAGAACCCTCGTCATCCATGGAATCGACTCCACAGGAGCTTCAGGGGAGTCCGCGGATATTCGCACCCGAGGGTCTCCTTTCCTTTAAAGGCAGTTAGCACGATGATTTGGTGCTCGGCCTAAAATGCTAGTAGGGCGCTATATAGTGGGGAAATGGCGAAAGAACGGAGTGAAACGGTCAAAATCCTGCGAAGAAGAGCCTCCGTTCTCAATGTGTTAGAAATCAATTTTGGACGAGTTTCCTGTAGGCATCTTGCCAATAACCGCTACCGAAGGTACGGC